AGCTGCACAGGCTAAGCAGTTACCTTTACAGATGTCAGTTCTGCTGCTTCTGTGTATTTTACAGAGCAGGGAAAAGCACGAACGACTGGGCTTTGTCTTACCAGTATGCTCAGGGTTCTCCCTGATGTCACCTGGATAATTTGGAGAAAAAGGTTGTTAAAACTGTGATGGAAAAGAGTAAATGGGGATGAGGAGGAAACTGGAAGATAGACATGCATGCAGTCTATGCAGGACAGTGCTGAGGAGCCCAGGTGGTCTCACCTCTACCTTTTCTGAACTTGGCTTTGCAATTTATTTTTTTTCCCCCCTGTTATTTAAATAGCCTCAGAAAATTATGTTTGCATCAGTAAGTTCTATCACTGAAGAGCTTAAAGTGAAAAAGCCTAAGAAAAGGATGCAACACAAAGTTCTTGTTTGTTCAGTACTTTCACTGTTACTCAGTAATCCCGAGCAGTATTTTTTTAACCCTGGAAGAAAACCTTTCTTTTTTCCTTTTCAGTTGATCCTTTGCATATGACTTTTTTTTCATTAATTCTTTCTTGTCTCTTGAGTTCTAGCAGAATTGCTTTACATCAGCTGAACTTTTATAACCGTCCATATGTGTTTTCTTAGTCCAAGGTGAATGCGAGATGTTTGACCTTTTTCATTGCAGGGTAAGCCGTTTTACCTGGCCTTTGCCGCAGATGTAGAACTTGCATGTGGACAGTGACCGAGGCTGAGCTCAGTTGGAGCCTCAGTTCCGCAGAGACCAAACTGCACTGGACAGGATGAAGTGTATCAGGGTGGTCTGAGCTGTTCTTGATAGGGCTTCTGTCTCTTGAGTGTCATACCGATTTCTTTGGTAAACACAGACATTTTGAATAAAATAGCTAAAATTGAACCTTCTGCCTTCCCTCCTGTACTTGCAATTACCAGTTAAACACAGAGAGAACTACAGCCTCATAGAGCCTATCTTTTTTTAAAAGTTTTAAATTAATTTTCTATTTCTGTGGATAAAGTTATTTGTCCTGTGCTTCTAAGTAGCTAGCTGCTAAAGGAACAGTACTCAAATCATTGGTGAAATCAGTTACGGGTAGTTTGGAAAGATAAAATCAGTGAGCCAAGTTAATTCCTGGATCGTTGATTTCAGATTAGTAGCATAAGGGGAAATTTTTGCCCATTTTGCTTGAATATAGCTATATTGGCTACAGATGCAAAATGCAATTTGAAAACTTGATAGATATTGTACACTGTGCTTTATGGCTTTTTGGGTGGTCTGTATGGAGTTCACAGGCATTAGACAATGCATTTCTCACATGCCGCCTTGTAGCTGGATTGCTGTTGGATACTTGAGAGAAATTTCCATGCTAATGCCAGCATTGAATTTGGCACAGGGTTTGCATCATTTATAGAAATTGCTATGCTTGGCTGTACTTCTGTTCATATAATCTTAATTACATGCTTTATTATGAAATTGTTGTCAGTTATTAGATACTTATTCAATTCCAATCTTCCTAGAAATGTAGAAATGCATTTTATTTCTGACATAAGACAACCTCTTGTTCTTATGGGGCATGATGAAGCTTCATTTCCCATGTTCATTCTATTCTGTGCTTCTGTCCACTACTGTACCACATTGTCAGCTGAGATCTGCAGCTTCCTGGCACCAGTGAACGTGGTCCTTAAATTGCCTCGATCTCCTTTAATACTGTTGCTTTAATCCCTCCTGGGCCTTTTGGTCTCTTACAGGCTGAGAATGTAAAGCCTTGTTCAGAATCTTTCATGATATTCTTATAATGGATGCAAAAATAAGTTCTTTATTACCTTAACTCATTTTTGGATTTAAAAAAAAAATAAATCCTATTCCACACAGCCATATAAATGTCTTGTCTGGAGATTGGTGGGCCATGGCCTGAGCTGGATCAGACCTACCAACCTGGTTAGCTCTGAAAGGTTCTCCAGTGCCGCACCCATTGGTAGCTCTGCATTGGGCTTCAGTGTGGACATCCCCTAATGGGGGGTCATCGTGTTGGCCTCTGCCAACATCAAACCACAGCTGGTCCAAGCTAATTTTTAGTGGAATTGCTGGAGTATTTCTATCTTCTTCTATCTAGCTGTTTTGTTCCATTTTCTCTTAATATTCTAGCACTTCTTTATCCTGCTGTGCAAAATGAAAATGTTTTTGTGTATCAGCTAAGTTGGTGAGTAAGGCTTTAGATTAAGGTGATGGGAGGTGCAAGCAACCTGTAGGTTAGGGTGCAGAGAGGTTACACAAGTGCCAAGGCAGGCTCTTGCAGCCAATATTTTTAAGGGAGGAAAGGGTAGGAGTGGGATTGCCCCTTTCTCTAGCAGTGAGCTGTGTGATCAGCTCAGTCCATCTCCTGTAATCATCACACCCTGACCATACTGTATTTTAGATTCAGTTGTACTTGTCTTTGATATAGTGGGTGTGTGCTTTATTTTGTTTTAAAATAAATACATGACTCCAGACTATGATTGCCTTTTCCTGCAGCTGGGCTATGTGCCTTTGGCTTTCTTCAGGTTATTTGAGGTTTTATCTGTCTTTTGTGAATGCAGACCACTTGCAGCCCCCGTGTGGGCTGCACTGTTGTGTGTCACGATGACTTTTGGCCCCTGTATTCATAGCGATACAGCTAAATGACATTGGAAGCCTGTAACAAGACTCTGATTTTTGCTAAAAAGGAAGCTAACTTTGAATGTGTAATTTAGAGGCTCCTACTGTCTGTCTTGGGGGAGCAGCATGGGAGAGAGAATAATTTGCAAGCCAACAGCAATGCTGTGACTTCAGGCGTCCCAGTGAGTGTCACCCAGTGGCCCCGCAGTGAGGGCAGCATTCCTCTGCCTGCAGTAGTTTGCACGTTTCACCAGCCAGCGAGAGGGAGGCGCATAGATGCTTCTGGTTTGATATTACGGCCTAAAAGGATGATTTACACCCTGCTGAAAATTGAGAAGACACCTGTGCTTCTAGCTTGAAACCAGAAATGATATTTTGTTTTGTTATACTTCATACATTTTTTTGAAAGTGCCTGTTGCGAGATAGCTGGCATACATATAATTGTGCAAGATTACATCATACCTCTGTTAGTGATCGTCAGTGAACATCAAAAGTAACCGCGTTAATCCTAGGGAAGGTGAAACGCATGTGACAAATAGTAGGTAAATCTTGCGACATTTTAACATTGCAGTGGAGGTATGTCATCTGCGGCACTTAGCGTTTACTATGTGTGTGGTTTCTGGTGCACTGGTTGCAAAGCTCATAAAGTGCTGAGTTGGTAGAAAGCCCAGGATGTTGTTGTAGTTATGAGGTGATGTATCTCTTAGTGCATTTCCTCTTCTTGTATTTCCTGTTGGGAAGAAGGGAATGTTAGCTTGAATGGGATAAGACTGATGACAGGTTGGTCAGTGGCTGTAGATGTTAAAAAAACCCCAAACAACCAACAAAAAACCCCCCAAAATAACCCAAAAAACAAAACCCTGTTGCTGTTTGCTCAGTATGGATGTTATTTTTGGAAGGAGGAAGGGTTAATAAAAATTGAAGGCATTTTTTTTTTCCTGGAATGAATACCTTCCTATGCACAATCCTACATGCGGAGGAGGGAAGGTTGGGCAGGAAATAATTTCCTGTAGGAGGAATAAACTGGGCGAATGTTTATGAGGAGAGCAGCACATGGGGGAGAGACAACTCTCAGTATGTGGAAGGTGGCGGAGAGATGCACAGGTGCATTTCTAACATCAAGTACAATGGGGACGGTGGGTGGCACGCGGGTGCTGGCAGAGAACGCATAGTTTGTGCCAATACTGAGTGCACGCATGTTCTGCAACTTCTGTTACCTAAGTTACGTCAAACATAATTCTTCCCTTGGCTCGGGAATTAAATCTTAATGGGATTGAAATCAGTGGCACAGTTTACGCTGACCTATCTGGTGCAATCATTTTGTCTTAGGTAGGTACATGTTTAGGCTTTCCTGTTCTGCCGGTAAGTGATAGCAAGAAAAGCTCGTCATCTTGTTAGGTAAACTACTGCAGCAGAAATTCTGGTGGTGTTTCATCAGGAAAGCAGACTTCTCCTCCATTTCGACTGAGCTCTTTCTAAAAGGCTATGAGATTTTTTTTTTTCTTCTTGTTTCTTTTAATATGTCCTGATCATTAAATTCTGGGGGGATTATCTTTTACTTTTCTGTTTGTATTGCCTTTTTTATGGCAGAGACACCCAGTGGTCCTCAATGTGAGGAGGCCCTTGAGCTTAACCCAACACAAGGAGGACACTACACCTTTTAGTTCTTCTGTATCTTGTGAATTCTAATAGTTTTATTTTTTGTATCAAGTATTTGGTTTACCAGATCACAATGTATTCAAAGATGCTGAATGCAAAGCTTACTTTATATGGGAGTTACAGATATTCTGAGTGATAACTTGGTTTCTGTAGCTGTTCCCTGTTTGTGGCATAAACTGTGACTTTGCAGTTTCCTATCAAATGGCATCACCTGAATTTGAAACATTTTTGCCACTGTGAGTGACTTTTTCTTGAAGAAGGGCTGCTTGATTATGAAGTTGTGGGTTGGAATAGAAAAGGAATCATGAAAAATTTCAAAGCTCTAACACATCAGGACCTAGGAGAAGTGTTCATCATACAAATTCCTGGCGAAATGATTTCTACTGCAAGCAGGAAAGCTTTGTATATCACTGCTGTGCATTGTTTCAGTAGTGTTTTGGTTTTATGACTACAGATATCTTGGTTAATTCTAGTGATTTCTAAATTAATGATTACTCACATGTTCTCTTGCTTTAGTGTTTTCCTGGACATGCAGAAATGTTAATTTGGGAATACCTTGAAGTAACAATAATCTGTGATAACAGCTGCTAGCAACTGAAAATTATGATACAACTATTTTCAGTTAGAAATAATTATTGCTCTTCCATAATTTTTTTGTTTTGGTGCCTTTTGTAGAGGAGACACTTGCAGTTTTTATGATATTGTGTCCCTTGCTTTTGTTTTCCAGAATATGACAAACTGGGCTTTCTCCTGAACCTGGACTCAAAATTGTAAGTAGAACAGTAGGACTCTTCTTTGTTTCTGTAGTTACAGATTTCTGTTGTAAGCAACTTGCATCACCTAGGCAGTTGGCTCACTGGACTATAGGCTTCTAACTGGGACACCCAAGTCCTGCAGCAACCTGGCAATTATGACTTCTTTCCTTAAACTGGGCTTTGCTGGCCAGCTTGGATTGTGGTTCACTGTCATTAATTCCCTAACGGCTGATCGAGGAGCTATCAATGTCCACCTGAAGCCATGACTGTGAGTCTGCTCTAGATACCCTACTGTTAATCTTCCAAATGAGGAAAAATAGATTAAACATTTGAAAGTAGGAGGAATGTCAATCTGCAATTTACTGGGATGCCTAGAAGTTTGTATTTCCTTTCCACTTGATTCTTTCAAAATGGATTCTACTATTTTTGTTTGTAAACTGGAGTGGAAAGAACCTCAACACAAGGCAGTGAGCGTTTGCTGTCAGAAGAACAGCAAAGTGTTGAAGGATGATACTTGTCATGCTTTTTGCCGTAAATCAATCAAATTGAGACTGAACTTCTTAACACTAGGGGTCACTAGCAACTCTGTTTCTAAGGTCCACAGCCTCCTAGAAATTTTGGTACTGGGAGCAAAAACATTACTGAAAACCTTGTGCCTCAACTACTCGAAAAGGCACAGAAGCAATCCAGCGGCTTTGAATGACTTGAGGATGCATCCCCTGTACAGTGTATCATGTTAATATAAAAACCGTCCTTAATGTTTAGGAAGTTTCATTTTACGTATAGGGTGTAACATTGAAGTTTTGAGTTTAGTCTTACTGAGCAGCTTGGGAGCTTTGATAATGAAATAAAAGTCTCGTAAGTGTGTTGGGAACCGCTGTTTGCAGGAAATGAGAAAGTCTCTAGGCAGGAGCTTCTTTTACAGAAGAAGCTGGGTCCATAAACTCAACTATAGTAACTTATCTGGCAAAAAGGTGCAGTGCAAGAAGACGTATGAGAAAGAAGGAATACTGATTTTTGTCCCCTACCCCCAAAGGCTCTGTATCTCATCCAGTGTGCAGGAAGGATGGCATTTACTGCATGAATAGCTGGTGAAGGTTTCTTTCTGGTCTCATTTAATGTAGAGTTCTATGTGTTTTTTCTTGCATGCTGTCTGGAACCTGTGCTCGTTGCACAGTTACCAATTTTCTTTATTGAATTTTCTGTATTGGGACATCTTTGTGATTTAGAGACAATCGCGTATGTACTCGTACAACACTGTGGGATGAGATGATACATTATCTTCAATTTATACATGTAGAAGTCAAAGCAAAGAGATTAGTCCAAAATTATGAAGTGGGTAAGTAACGTTTGAATGAATGTCTTGGTGTTGGTAAGAGAAAAATGTTTTTTAAATTTTTAAGTAGTCTGATTTTTGGTTTTTCCCAGACTACTTTGCATATTTTATAATGTCCAATTTATTGAACAGGCCCATTGACCATCCACTTTTGGCATAGCAGCTTTGGATACCAGCCTGTACTATGTCCAAACCACTGCGTCTTGCTCTTCCTATTCCTCCTTCTGTGTTCTGTCCTTTGTTGCTTTTAGCAGGTCCCATTGAGTATTCCTTCCCCTCAAGCCTCTGTTACATCCTTTTTTTTTTTTTTTTTTTTTTTTTTTTTTTTTTTTTTTTTTTCTCTTCTTTGCTGATGATCTGCTTTGATAACACCTTTCTGAGACGTGGCCTACTCCTTCTTATATTTTAGTATGAAGTCAAAAGAAGTTTTTACCTGCTGGAGGGCTTCAAAACCCAAAAATTTTTTATTAAAACCTTCCTGTGATAAAAACTCTCCATTATTTAAGATTAAAGAAAGATTTTGTTGACTACTTAAAAAAAAGGTATTTATATAGCACCTTAAATGTGCATATTTGCTTTCCAAAGCCACAAAGTTAGTTTCTGGAAAGGCTTGTAGTAAAACCAGCATGATTAAAATAAATACTGTGAGGCTAAGGAGCAAAGAAAGCAAATACTATGCAAAGGTGAAATAACTTCTTTGTTTGTTTTTGGTTTTGGTTTTTTTTTGTTGTTGTTTTGGTTTGTTTGTTTGTTTCTTCTATGGAAGTAAAGCTGGCCCTGCTTTGAGAATGGACTTGATGATCTGCAGCGTTCCCTTCCAGTCTGAATTATTCCATGATTTTTTATTTTCCACAGTAGCAAGAGAGCCAGAAAAAAAGCTGAAAATAACATAAAACAAACTAAATAAATTTTGAAAGAAAAATGGGTGACAGCCTAGAGGAATTTGCTGCTGTTCCACAAGTTCACCATGTGTGGTCAGAGTACCAAATTAGTTTTCTAAGTACACAATGAAATTCAACACTTTCTGCAACTCAGTCAAGATGGTACCATCATAGAAGTATTTTCTGGTGAAAAATAATTTGCTTAGAGTTGAAAGGGATAATATGTTCTGCACTGATTACTTTATTAATTATAATTTAATTATGTCTCTTCTTGTGATATAATCACTCTGGTGGAATTTTGCCACAGATCACAACTTTATAGGGTTCACTTAATTGACAGCATGTGAGAGTTTGGTGCGACGATTAGTTTTCTCTCTTTTTTTCCCTTAATCTTTCATTTTTTCAAAATATCTTCCTGGCTGTGTTGTTGTCATTTTAAACTAATGACCTGGAGGACTAACATTTTCTACAAAGGAAGTTCTGCATGAAAAATTAAGTGCTCTGACTCATATTATAAATGACATTATACAGAGGAAAGTGTTTGACGTGAATAAATAGTAATGTGTCCATTTGCCTTTGCATCTTTAATTTTTTCATGTATTACTACTTCAGTGTCCTCTACCCTGTAGATGTCCAGGGCATGTTATTCAGGTATAATACATTCTGTTGTGGTTATGGCAATGTAATGATTCTGTTCACTGGTTCCCTTTGAGTTCATGGAAATGGTAATGAAACCAGATTTGTTCACTTCGGAAAGAAAATCTATCAGAAGTACTTGAGAAGTGTTTACTGTGGGAACTGTATGTGTCAGATGCATGCCTTGCTATAGCGTTAGGAGGCTGGTATGGCCAGGAATCTCACCTGGAAGGGGATGGCCAGTTTTAAAGATACTGTACAGATGCTTCATGGATATGGCTGGTTCTGACCAGACGTCTTATTGCTCTGAGCTTGGTGGAAAGGAGAAGATACGTCCTTTCTGCTGCCTGTGCTTAGGCTAGCCCTTCTTTGGAAAGTCTTTTAGCTTTTAAAGAGCAGGTTGATATCCAGGTAGAGATTGTTAACAAAATACAGTATGAATGTAAAGCCAAGAACATCTGTAAGCAGCATAGTTCGTGAATTAGTTGTTTTCGTAGCTAAAATAAGACCTAAGACTCCTGAGGACCAGATTAGTGGAAAAAAAAAAATGTGTGCAAGAGGAGTTTATCTTTTAGTTATGTTTGTACCAACCATAACATCAGTACCAAAATTAGAATATCGAAACAAAACATGCCCAAAGTACAGAAACAGGCCAGTTGCATCAGTTTCTCCCAGGTAAAGAGGATTCCCAAGCAGCAGAGCTACATACTGGTTTAAAACCTTTAAGAATAAAATCCAACATTTACTGGTTGTGTAGATAAGAGTACTTATACAAAAATTACATACTGCTTACAGGTCTTAATTCTTGGAGGGGCCAATAGTTCCTGAACAACTTAAGGCCATCAATCACATTAGTGACTCAGCCAGTGGATTACTGGGTGCCACCAAATGCCAAGATTTGCAGTTGCTTTCTAACATCTGTGCTTGGCAAAGGGTTGCATGCTTTTATTATTATTAAATATTTATATTGTAGTAGTTCTTTGAGGCTGGCCACGTCCTAGAAACAAGTCTCATTCACTACAAATTCTGAATCATTCCTTGAGCAGAATATTATGTTTGCATTGAATTAAATGAGATTTCTGCAGGAGGATCAGCCTATGATCATGTAGTTAATTATAGATGGTATCTTAATGCATTTTTAGTGGGCTCAGCTGAAGGTTGCATGGTTGTTCTTTATTCTGTCACTTACACCGTGAATGCTTGGTTTAGTCACCTTAACGATTAATTTGAGTATGCCTTGGCATGTTACAAGTGTAGATTCACTTGTCTTGCACATGTGAAAAGTTCCTTTTTTATAATAAACCATGTGATTTGGGGGCTCTTCCCTTGCATTGGTCGCCCTCATGCTTCTATACCAGCTTTCCTTACTTTGCCAGCTTGCCCTTTGCTCAGTGAGAAGGAAGTTAGGGACTGCTACTTCTGTCCTCATTTCAGACTCATCCTTCAAAAGCTATTTTCAAAGGTACTTTAGCAATTAGGTTGGTGGTTTGATGCTTCTAAACAGCAGCCAGAAAAAAGCCCCCCGTGGGTGACAAGTGGATCTTTTCACCTGCTGCCACAGTCAGCTCAAAACCTTGGATGTTAAAATCCCAGCTGATGAATGATGGAGGAAGCGTCCCAGGGTTTGACTTTGACCGGGGAAGAACCACTCCCTTATAAGGTTTTGCAAATGTTAGATGATGTGCTTGACCTTACTGGAATAATTCTTCATTTAAACAAAAAGATAGTGGGTATTACAACGTGTTAACTTGAGAGTAAATTTTTTTCAAGGTACAAACAGGCAAAAAAAATTGCTACCTCTCTCAGTTTGAAAAATGGTTATGAGATCAGTATGATTGACTACAATATCGTAATACTAACATTGATAATCTACTGTATTTACACACTGTATTTATACAATATATGGCATATATTTTATATTGTGTACTTTGGGAATTTTTAGACAGTACTTAATTAAAAGGAAGAATATTTTTTCCAGTGGGCTCTATGCTTTGGCAGGCATTTCGTGATACTGTGTATTTACATGTTGTTTCCAACATTATAGAGTAGATTTGGGAGGTGCAACAAAGATTTCTTTTTTTTTTGAATATTCGTGATAATTTCAAACTTCGCTGTAAAAAGACAAAGAAATTGAGTCTTTTTGGGGGGGAAAAAAGCCAGAA